CCCCCCCCTACTGACGAGTTATAATAATAATAGAGAGAGAAGGAATGAATCCTAAAACCATTTCTCGTTTTCCCCTCCACTATCAACGATGTCGCGTGCCTTTTCCTTTACCCACCCACATACACCGAGACAATGCACCTCATGTACACTAATATAAAAAATATATATATGTTTATATATTCCTTGGTTATGTACCACGTACATCCACCTATCTAACCAGCGGGAAAATGAGGAAGAGCGACAGTGAATGAGTGAGACAGAGGAGTTAGGTATGCCAGGGTGCGTTATTAAAAATTCACTCCCTCCCGCGGTTGAAGTGGCCTCTGGCAATCTGCATCTCATTCCCAGCGGGCCCTTGCGCTACTCGTATCCCCAACCCGAGCTATCCTCGTTTTCCTCTTGCTTCCTCTTGGTCGGTGTGGGCGAGGGGTGCGGAGGGGCACTCTGGGCTGAAGCCCTTCTGGTACACTTCCATTGCTGGCCTCTTCAGATGGCTGGCATGACAGAGTCCATCCGGCGACCATCCTTTTCTGGTTCTCATATCGGCGAGGGGGGACGTTTGTGTGGGCCATTAGGTTCGGGGTGTTTTTGGTTTTCGAGGGGAGTGATTGCGAGATTTTAATTTTTTATCGTTGAACAGAGATGACAAGAGTCAGGGGAACATGCTTTTCGAAGCACACGGAGAAGAAAATACTTGAATTGAGTGTAAAATATACTTGAAGATTTCGTTCTCTCTTTTTTTCACGTCTATTATCAACTTTGAACCACATGTACACAACTCCTGATAGAGATAATGGGAAATTCTGGGCTGATGTCAGCTTTGGTGTTTTTTTTTCTCGAAAAAGCTTCGAATTCAAGGACAAAAAAATTGAATTTTCTATAGAACACAGTCAGAGCTATAAGGAAGAACTTTACGAGTATTTGCCTCTACCCGAGTGGAAATTCTGTTCAGGTCTCGATCAGAAACTGATCAAGTCCGATCCGAAATTCTGATCAGGCATGTTACGCCTCCACCGTATGTTTTTCCACTAGGGTTTCTCCACCTACCATCATTAGGCATTAATTAAATTTAATTTTTTTGAGAGGAAAAATTAGTAACCTCCTAGCCGGGAATCGAACCCGGGACGTCCCAATGTCGCGTCAGGTGCTCTTACCATCTGAACTACCAGGACACTTACGAATTTCACTCTCAAAGTGACTCATATCCGAGTGGAAATTATGTTCAGGTCTCGATCAGAAACTGATCAAGTCCGATCCGAAATTCTGATCAGGCATGTTACGCCTCCACCTTATGTTTTTCCACTAGGGTTTCTCCACCTATCATCATTAGGCATTGATTAAATTTAATTTTTTTGAGAGGAAAAATTAATAACCTCCTAGCCGGGAATCGAACCCGGGACGTCCCAATGTCGCGTCAGGTGCTCTTACCATCTGAACTACCAGGACACTTACGAATTTCACTCTCAAAGTGACTCATATCCGAGTGGAAATTCTGTTCAGGTCTCGATCAGAAACTGATCAAGTCCGATCCGAAATTCTGATCAGGCATGTTACGCCTCCACCTTATGTTTTCCTACTAGGGTACTCCTCAAAATCAAAGATATTCATCAAGAATTACACCCTGTTGAAGCATTTCATTAATTCTCCTCAATTTTAAATTGAACATCATGCATGACCCATTGGTTTCCCGGAAATATTACTAAGAGAAAATAAATCATGTGAAATGCAAAATTACTCAGGGGGACCGTAAGGTATTAGGCGCTTTTTAGTTGTTGAAGGGAGTAATTTCTTTTTTTATCTTTTTAATTTTTGAATTGAGCAAAGCTGACATGATTTTGATGGGAAGATGTTTATCTAAGCAGAGTGAGAGAAAATAAAGGATTTTGGGAACTTCTGTGTTGATGTCATCTTTGGAGGCTATTTCGGAAAAATCTTTGAATTCTATTTTTTTGTGGAACTGTAGTCCTTAGGTTCAAGGCTAGTCATTAAGAATTACATCAGATTAATTGTAATAATAATAACTATAACAGATACATCAGAAATAAAAATATTCATGAGACACCTAAACATAGAGATAATTCAACCCATCTCGTTCTTCATTCTCCCAATGAACTGATGCTGTCAACTCTCGCATTTCCATTTTGATGAATTTTTCATATCCACTAATTAATATTTTTTAATACGAGAGTTCCTGGAAAATGATGAAGCTCCACAGCGCGTTTCATCTCCACCCCTTTTCTCTTCATTTCCACTGTCATCAAGGAACCGTCATCGGATGGACGTGCGAATTGTTCCACGAGGATTTTCTCTACGTGCGTGTCCCCACCGGCGACACGCGCTAATTTGGATGATTCTCCCTTTCATTCTGCATTTTTTTTTCTCTCGCTCTCTCTCCCTCGAGAGAGAGCAGGATCTAGCGGCGCTAGAGGAGAGGGAGAGGGCGGGGGAGGGGGAGGGGGAGAGAACACAGGGCCTCGACCAAGATGAGACGACTGGGATATGACGGGGACGAGGATCGATCGTGGTACCATTTTGCGGGTGAGTTGAGAGGAGTGAGAGAGACCGACAAGAGGAGAGTGGAGTAACGCTTGGCAGCCAAAACTACGAGCGGCATAATCAATCACGGCTAGTGGGGAGGTTTTGCGCTTGGGTCTTGGGTTTGTATGTGGATACCAAGGCATAGTTTTCCTCCTTGTTCCCTTGTTACGTTAACGGTAATATCGCCTCTTTCCTCTAAAACGTGTCTGTGCCTTGTCTCAACGTTGCCCAAAACCTCTTTGTCATTTTGTCGACGTAAATTTCAGCCGGGAGGTGAGTACTTTGACGTTAAACAGTGAGTTAAAGTTATGAGGAGGAATGGGGGGCCCATGAAAAAGAAATTAAAACGGCTGCCAGCTTTTTTTCTTTTAGGGGATTCATTCTGGGATTTCGTTGTTTTGGAGGGAATGTCGTGCGTGGCTCGCTTTATGGCGGTCCAATTTTTTTGGCGGTGAAACCGGCTTGAGACAGTGTTGAAAATTTTTGACTGAAATTTTCGGTACACTGTTAAATTTTTTTTGAAATTTTGGGGAAGATATTGTAGGAAATCTCATACGAGTGACATTGAATCGGATTGAGGGAAAAATGGTTATGAAATTTCAAGTTTTAAGTGGAATTCACGAAAATTCTCGAAGTTTCAGTGGGAGTGAGATGTAAATTTCACGACTTAAGTGAATTTTCAGTGAAACACGAATATTCAAAAACAAAATATCATGAATTTTCCTGATTTTTCTGAATTTCCACGGGATAATTGAACTGAGAAATCAAGTATTTTATTGATTTCCAGATCATTGGAAGAGAAAATCAATGGAATATTTTATTTTTAATGACAAGATTGCATGAAATTTCAGTGGAATTTGGACCCGATAAAAATTTCCGAAATTTGACACGGAAAATTCAAACGACAATTTTTAACAGTGTACACTTTTTGGAAATTTTTACCAGATTTTAGTTGCACTGAAATTTTAAGGAATTTCGTTAAACACTAAATCTCAGTTGAATTATTCAATGAAAATTAATAGAAATCAATAAAATTCCGGTAAATACATTCTTGAACTTTAATTTAATTGAAAATTCAGTATAAGTTGACTTAATGCTGCTACAAATTCTGAAATTTCATTGAATTTCCAGTGAATTATTTTTTTCCCTATATTGCATTCAAAGTCATGCAGATTACCAATCGATTATTCATGAAATTTCTAATTTTTCCGAACAGTGCACGCGGTTAAAAAACGTTTTGTTGCAATTTCCGGTCCATTTCTTGAAAATTCTTATTACAAGATAGTTTCACTGTAATCGCAAGGAATTTCATCTTTGAATGTTGAAAATCTTATGAAAAAATCCATGAAAACTCCAAATTCCATTTCAATTATTCCATAAAAATTGTAGATGTACTCTAGAAATTTCAAATGATTGAAAATTCCGTGCAAATTTGTACTAAATATTCACGTTTTTATTGAAAATTGGACTTCCATTGAATTTTCAATAACATTTGAAATTTCATTATTTATTCCCCCCGAAAATCGAATTCAATCTCGCGCTCCTGAAAATTACTAGCCAACTTCATGAAATTCCATTTCTATTTTTCATTCATTGGATGTAATTGGGTGAGAATAATTTCTTTTGAAGTGTTCAAATTATTCCTAGCTTTGATACTTTTTCTCGCATTACATCTTTTCTTAATTTCCAAAAATTTTCCTCATTCTTAGGCCTATACCCATCATTAATACAGATTCACGGAGTTATCCGAGATTGAAAAATTCAGAAGACCAATTCCTTCCTATCTTTCCAATGTTTCGGACACACGAGGTGTCACAAATTGAATCAAATAAAATTACTACAAACTCAGTACTATTTTCAAAACATTGCAAATTATGTAAATCGAGAATACTTTATGAATTCAGCAACTGCTCGAGAATTGTAACTGTACACTGCTAGAACAATTCAACAGAATTTCCCAGAAAAAAAACCTTGACTTCGATTTCAGGGAAAAAATCAATGAAATTTCAAATTCCTCTGTAAATTCAGTAGCGAAGTGGTAAAACGGTTTAAGTCGACTCATCTCCCAGTTGAGTTTTTGAGAAATATTTCCGAATCTAAGGGAGATAGCGAACTTTTCGTAATTACATTTGTTGTAGCTCTCAATTGGCTCCACGAAAACGGTTATAACAAAAATTTTGCCATCTCCCTTAGATTCCGAGATATCCATTGAAAACTGGCCAATGGTCAAAATTGACTTGAACCGGTTTACCACTTTGCTACTGAACTTCAGACTTTTTTAAAATTATTCATAACTCAGAAACAAATTGATCAATTGAGCTTAGTTTAGGCTCGTCACAAAGGGAAACAATTCTTCTTTGCATTGAAAAAAAAATTACTAAATTTTATCAACATTTCACCCCCTCATTAACATTTTTAAAAAAGTCAAAAGTGTCTGGTTTACCCCAACCTCCCCTAATAAAAATTCCTAAATGTAATAAAAAATGAGTTGAACCTAAAGAAATCACAACCCCATGACTCCCGACGAAACCGGCATCTCAAATTATTATAACCCATGCGCTCTGAACCTCCACTCACCTGTAGTTTCGTCTCCGGAGATCTCCTGAGTCCCTGGGCCTCGCCACCAAGAGGAGCGACCGCGAGGAACGTCAGAACAAAAAAACCATTCAATTCCATTTTTTCCCAGTCGTAATCTTCAAATTTAATGCTCTCAAAGGTCCTACATGAGTCCAGAGGGTAAAAAAGAAATGCATTATGACTCGATGGCAGAAAAGGAACGAGTGAACCTAGAAACGTAAATTTCTTACTCGGGTTATTTTCTGCACGTCGTAATTTGCATTCTCTTAATCCCAACTCTGTGTCTTTCCACCTCTTTCTGTTCCCATATTCCTCTCGTTCCTTTTTAAAACCACTATTCAGCCCTGCCTACGCCAGTGTCCTCCAGTCTCCCCCTGCCCCCCCACCGAAAGCGTTGGGAAATTAAAAACGTCCGATCGTAAAGCCTTGAAAGGAGGTGAAATATCGCCAGTGAAGTACATTGAATCGTAATCAGCCCAGCTCTTAATCTCAAATAATAACTGTACTCCCTCATATTCACCATTATTATTTGTTTCTCCTCTCAAAAAGGAATGGTTGGGGCATACAAAAGTGAACTAAAGAGCGATAAACTCCGGCATTCGTGGGGAATACAGAAAATTTTTGTGAAGAAAAGGACAGGAGAATTGTTCGAAAAAAAAGAAGAGGAATGATGGAGAGAATGGGGATGGTGAAAAGGGAGAGAAAGAAACGGGAGTGGAATCTCTGGACTGGCTGCTTACTCTCCGCGGTGCACGGAAGTTGTGCCTGCGCCCATAGAAATCTTTGTGAGACTTACACTTGATTTCACCCGGGCCTTCTTCTCCGCTATGGAGATCTCTGTGCTTCGTGGATGAGGAGAAAGATTTCTTTTGAGAGAGAATAAGGAGATGCTCGGGAATCGATTCTCGCTGGACGATGGCTTTTGTTGGGGATACTCGCGTTTATCGGGGTAGTGGAGAGTGAAACAGAAGCTCTGGAAAAAATTTAGAATGTGTATCTTATTTTTGATTTTGATGTTTTTAGAGGGAGAAAGACATTTTATTTGAATCAAATGGGTTGGTTTGATTAGGTCAGAATGAAGCTTTTATTCTGAATTGAACTTGATTTTTATTCGCTTCATTCGGGTCGAAAAAACAATTCAGTAGTGAAGTGGTAAACGGAGATAAGTCGACTCCCTTAGATTCCGAGATATTGATTGAAAACTGGTCATCAGTCAAAATTGACTCATCTCCTTTTACCAATTAGCTACTGATTTTTTTTAATTGATATGGAATAAGTCGTTGGATAAGTTTATCAATCACAAACATATTGTGGAAAGGATTTTTGTGTCTTGAAAAAATATATGAAATTGAATTGAATAAATAGTTTTTTTTTAATACAAACTAATGTTTAAGTAATAATTTGTTATTTGGATCAAATAAATCGTATATTTGATTCTAAAAGAGGATTTATTTCATGTAATTTCAACCTTTCATGTAATTTCAACCGTTTTTAGAGGGAGAAAAACATTTTATTTGAATCAAATGGGTTGGTTTGATTAGGTCAGAATGAAGCTTTTATTCTGAATTGAACTTGATTTTTATTCGCTTCATTCGGGTCGAAAAAACAATTCAGTAGTGAAGTGGTAAACGGAGATAAGTCGACTCCCTTAGATTCCGAGATATTGATTGAAAACTGGTCAACAGTCAAAATTGACTCATCTCCTTTTACCAATTAGCTACTGATTTTTTTTAATTGATATGGAATAAGTCGTTGAATAAGTTTATCAATCACAAACATATTGTGGAAAGGATTTTTGTGTCTTGAAAAAATATATGAAATTGAATTGAATAAATAGTTTTTTTTTAATACAAACTAATGTTTAAGTAATAATTTGTTATTTGGATCAAATAAATCGTATATTTGATTCTAAAAGAGGTTTTATTTCATGTAATTTCAACCTTTCCATCAAAATAAATATACGAGTTTATTCATGTTCAATGAAAATATTATGGAAGTGATTAAAAAAAGTTCAGTTGAAGAGTTTTGTTCGATGTAATTGCGTCATTCATCTGGATGTTTAATTAGTGTCACAAATAAATGTTGTTTTCCATTTTTTATTCATCACAAATATCTTTCAATCAAATAAAATCTTAATAAAACATCTAGTAAAAGACTGTTCATCAGAGAATTAATTTTAATTCAATTGTTTGAATGCCGCGATAGAAATTTGAGAAAAATCATCTGCAAAAATAATCTTAGAATTATTTATGAAAAATGTCCTAATTTCCAAAAATCATCATTTTTCAATCATTTAATGCATTTTTCTCAAGAAGGAAAATTTTCAAACTATATTAAAATTTAAATTCTCATAGTCTAAATTAAAAAATGATAAAACTGTCAGTTCCCTGGAAAAGTCCCAAGTACTGATAAATTTTAATTAGAAACACTGCGAAAAATCTAATACCGAAACCTTAAATAAAATATGAAAAATATTTTTCTGTTAAGATAATAGTTAGAATAAAAATTGGTGGTAGTAAGAAACCAGTTGGTATACAAGAGAAAAAGGGGTTGTGCTGATGGAACGGGACGAGAATAATGTACCGCGTAAGAGCCATTAGGTTATTAAAAACTAGAAGCCGGAAAAATGAAAGAGGAGAGTTAAAGGGACGTATAAAGAGGGGGGGTCCTCTTCCCCCTTTAGGAGAGGGTGGAAATGTAGAAATAGTACTGAGAAAACGAGTGGCTGTGAAGGTTGTAACAGAGGCGAAAAATTGGCCCGTCCTGTGTTTACGTTTCGATGAGACTAAAAAAAATTACAAAAACACAAAAATGCGAGGTTTTTCATCTATGTTAGGAAGCGAGAAACGTGTGCTTGTATCAGAAAAATCTGGAGAAATTTTTGTGGGAAAGAACTCACGTAAGCTGGGACTTTTTATTCTATTTTTATGGAAAACTCCAGGATGCTTTTCCACCAATTAGGAATCGCCGAGTGCTGCCAAGTCTCGGAGGAAAAAAATGATGGCAGGGGGCAACAATTTGCCAATAATAAAAAAAAACCTAGGAAAGAGTGTATGGTCCTATAAAAATGGTAGGAAAAAATGTGGACCTGGGCGTTTTTGTGGTTAATCGATCTTGACTGTGGGTAGATTGTTTATTGTTTTTACCGGTCCGTTCTTTTTGTTTTTCAATAGTTTTTTGGATTGCGGTTATCGAAGTGCCTTTCATAGCTGCACTAATTAATTCCCGTTAATAGGATGGAGTTTGTAAACTCGTGGTTTGGAGTAAAATGGAACAAAAAGAGCATTCAAAGAGTTTTTCCTTGTTGTTTAATATATTGAGGGGAGAATGAACTCTGCGAATGGTGGGACAATTGAATCGAGGCCAAAGATTGATTTTTAGCGAGTGATTAGTGGGTGAAAAGACGTGGAAAGCCTTTAGTGAATCATTAATTAATTATTTCGAGTCCAAATAATTTCATAAATGATCAGTTGGGACAGTTATGAAATATAATTGTGAAAGTTTTTGTGAATATACTCCACTGCGAGATGAATAATAGCAATAAATTTACTGTATACTATGTACTTATGACAACACTTGGCTGAAGGCCCTCGGGCCATGGCCTATTGTAAGAAAAAATTTTTTCTTTGTTGTTTGTAATTTTCTTGCAATAAATTCCGTTAAAAATTAAAATTATTAGCAATAAATAAGGACTTTTTATTATATTTTACTAATCAAGAGTCGTCGAGTGCTGCCAAGTCTCAGAGGAAAAAAAAATTGTGAGAGGGGTCAACAATCTGCCAGTAATAAAAAAACCTAGGAAAGAGTGTACAGTTCTATAAAAATTGAATCGAGGCCAAGGGTTGATTTTTAGCAAGTGTTTAGTGGCCGAAAAGACGTGAAAAGCCCTTAGTAAATCATTAATTAATTATTTGAAGTGAAAATAAATTCATAAATGATTAATTGGGACAGTTATGCGAGTTCATTTGCACGTCAATGTATCATCCGTTAATGTGAAATATTATTGTGAGAATTGTTGTGAATATACTCGACTGAGAGGTGAATAATAGTAATGAATAAGCACACATGTGTGACAGAGAGAAGTGGGCAGAGCTGTGAACCCATTCAGCTTTGTGATTAGACGTAAAGTAGGCGGAAATTATTGGGCCCAGTGTGCGGAATTATTGGATGAATTTAGTTATGAGGCACACAGCACACGCTTGGTATATATGCTAACTCTTGGTGTATATGTATCAGCTCTCGTCGTCTACCACACACTTCAACATTGGCCCAACCCTTTTGCTCTCTGTCGTATACAATATTCACTTTCTGACTCACTCGTTTACACACTTTCCTTCTCACTTTGGTATGAAGTGCCGTGGCTTGTACATAAATTTCTCGATACCCGTGTGCACAAGCACCCCAACGTTACTCTCTCACTTTGAGTTGAGCGGGAGTACATGGGTACTGGGAAAATACCTGTGCATGTATCGGGGTAATTTCTAATATTGCCGAGGTATTTGGTAGATTCGTTAATATTCAACGATCGACAGGGATCGCCCTCTCGTGAATGTTTGATGGAGATTTTGGGGGGGAATGTTTGAGGGGGAGGGAAATATATACAATCTGTGGAATTTTTCACGCTGATGATTGGAACGATTTTATTTTCTGTGGAGACTTGCAGACAATTTTACCTTTAAGGATATTCAAGTACACTGATAGAAGGGATTAGTTATTGTTAACGAACGGATTTTCGTTGGAGGGTAGGGTCTATTCGGTCTCACCAAATGTTCATTCGTTAATAGTTAACGAATGTATATTTGAGGAGCCTTGTTTGACTTGACTTTCGCCATTCAAGTGAACCATTCGTTAACTATTAACGAATATTCATTTGGTCATATTCAACTCTACCATTCGTTAATAGTTAACGAATCTCGTTTGGAATAAATGAATCACTCTATCAGTGTATCTTCTATATTTTGGTACAGATCACACTACAGATTCAATAATTTTCAATCATAAAATTCGTTAATTCAATTGCTGGAGGTAAATATGAGAAAAATCATGAAGATTCAGCGTTATTCAAACTAAATTTTGCGCAGAATAATTATTATTTTTAA